GGTTCATTAATATCATGACAACTTATGGAAATTTATTCACAACGTTTTTGGACCTTCGGATATCCATGTGTGATATCACTTCATCAATCTCGTCGAATACAAGAAACTGTGGCATGATAATATTTGTTCCTTGCGAAAAGTTGATCGGATCGACTCAATGGAACAGGTTGAATGAGTACACTATCGGATGTAATAGGTTCCTCTGATAACTTTAAAGGTAGTTTATATGTTGAATCATATGAGCCTCACGGCATTAAAGTTCATTGGAACACTGCATCGCTGAATGACAGATGATGATGACTTAGTCAGTGAGAATTTTAAATGAATGTCTCCCGTTGACTGGGTTTGACTTGACTTGTATACGATTCTGGCTTTCTTTGAGTTGAGTTGATTTCAGTTTAAACAACCATTAACCATGCACGTTTGTGTTCCGATTTTGATTGCCTTCTTTTGGCTTCCCATTTGGATGAACAGTAAGAGAAAGAAAAGAAGGTTGAAAGTAGAGCCGAATGGAAAATGAAGAATTTCGGTGGACTAACGTTGCAAAGAAGTTGAGAAGACACACGAACTGCACTGTTTCCGACACTCATCTATATCATTCTGTGTCTCTAACCATCAGTTACAATCGCCCCCTGGTGCCCAGCTAGGGAGCCTAACAGGACCTATGGGAGCCAGTCTCCTGGTTAGGGATTTCATACTCTCATGCCAGGTTTTAGCTTGACCACCCTTGGCTATATTCCATTCACTACCTGCCTCGGCGAACGTCGCTCTTCGTGGCAACCTATTTGGTGACATGCATAATACATGCCCCAACCAACGTAATCTATGAAGATCGACCACTTGCTCCAGTGGGCAACTGCGATTACCTAAAACTCTGCGCCTAGCCTCAGCATTGCTCGTCTGGCCGCCCCATCAGATTCGTGCAATGCAGAACTGGTCAACGTGCCGCAGTATACACTTTTACAGGTAGCCGGATGTCGCGACGGCGCCACAGATGTCTCAGGTTGGCACAATATCGTCTGCATACTCCAGATCAGAGAGTCTACCACCTGAGAGCGAATCGGTGACACTGTCCTTGCACCTGATATGATATTTCTCGTTGTGCAAAGTGAACTAATGTGATATTTCAGCGCTACAACCGTGTCTTACTGATCTGTTTCTTGTCATTGGTTATTCAATAGTATTAGTCCGTTTTCACAATTCTCCTTACACAGTGGACTGCGGAGTTGTTACATTACTATTTCGCCCTCCCTTGTTTAGCAAACCGAGTGAATCCCAAAACCACAAGGACATACTGTTCAATAGCAATGGAAACTGGCAACCAGGAATTTAAGCATAAACTCTCATTAGGATAGGCGTGATTTGAAACCGGATGACAGTGAAACTGAAGCAAATTTGGGTGGTGATGGTGGGCTTCAAACCTCGAGACTTAAGACTCCAAGCACACCGGTGACTGACTCAAACCGTTTGCTCACCGCCACAGCAGACATCTCGCGACAAATTACTTATTTGCGTACCATCCTGATATATATGTTGAAAAGAAGATGGAGAGCACTGAGTGATATTATTTATTGTGACGTTTCGATACAGACTATAACTCGTTGTCAAACGGTAATACGTGTAAATGAATTGGGTCTGCTTGTGCTCCGCAATGTAGTTTGCGTCGCGCCTGTTTGTCCATCAATGCCGTGTTCCTCACTGGTTGTACAATCATTGCGTAATGTTCATCGATTGAGTGAGTTGGTCGAAAGCGGCGCTTCAAGGATCAGTCGTGCCCCTTCATCTTTGCCCTTGACACTACTTTTGCGTCATTGATTCTGACCTCGTAACTTGTCGTTTCGCAGTGGTTCTTGAGGCGTGACTTGGGGTCGGTGCGTTGTCGCGTGTATGTTTATGTATATATATATATATATATATATATATGTATATATATATATATATCATAATAAGTAGTATGTGAATGCCTAGACAAAAGTTCCCTGAAAGCATACGACCGGTGTCGCGGTTCTTGCCGCTCGTCAGGCATGCGTATCCGGTAATCTTTTGTCAGTTCATTCATACACTTGTACCCAGGAAGTGTATTTTTGTCACAATAACCTTGTTTGCAACACCGGGTAACCATTGGATAGACAGCTCTTTCAGAGCCAGTCCAATGAAGAATCAATGCTATGATTCGATGTTTTGTNATGTTTTGTTAGTGGGTTAGATGTATATATAAATGATGTATATATAGATGTATATATGTATATATATATTACATATCTGAGATCAGAGTTTGTGGCAAACAAATCCGATGCCCATAAGTGTTCTTGTTTTTCCTCGGTAGATGACAAACATGATATAATCCATAATAATAGAGACTACTGTTCAGAAATGTGGTAGCAATGATACTAAACAAAGGTTATTGAGTCAGTACTCGAATATAGAGAGTTTATAAAGATGAGGATACACAAAATAAAATAGGTGTCCTACGAACGCCACCGTCAATTAACGCTTGTGTTCAGATCTCGCTAGCCATAAATGTTGGAAAGAGACCAAACCGCCAAACTCCACAGAACGAATTTCTTGGTAACAGCGATAGAAAGACGGGGAAAGAACTGATCACACGGCGATGGGAAGGTAAACGAAGAGTGAAGTTTTGGCACGGATTGTTGACAAGGCGAATAGTTTTACACTGAACACGGTCTAAACGAGCCACAGAATTAGACAAGTTCCAGCCTTGGGCGTATGGGTTTTGTCGTAGTCGGAGATGTTTTGGTCATGTAGAGAGTAAAAAGTCGAAGGATGTTAAAGATCCGTTTAGCTTGGAAAAGGTAGACAACATTCCTGGAGGCAAGCGATAAAAGCTCAATAATATGAGGGAAAAACATATATGAAAGAGTGAAATTGAAGGCCACGTAGAAGTGTAAAGGATGTAAATCCAAGTAATCGAGAGTCGAAATCCATATTGGGGTTACAGACCCGGGGGATTTTGGTGACATAGAAACCGACTTGGTTTTCAGTGCACCGAGCAGCTGTAAAAACCGGAATCTGAACTGAGTTTATGATAAGCAGACAATTTATCGTGACTAATGGAAAGAATTGAACAGTTTTCCAACTACTGAGAAACACGCAGTTTGTTAGCTATTTATGAAGACGAAAAGGGAGGGGTGGAGTAAGCTCTAGCACGCTTGTTTTGAGCACAATTGGTCAGATGTTATCTGTTTCGGATGGCTTGCATGGGAACACAATTTCGGGCGGGTACCTCTAACTGTGAATTTTTGATTAAATTTTGGTCCAAGGTGGACACAGTAGGAAGCGAAATTGGGGANCCTCAGCCTATCGGTAGCCGGAGAAATGGAAGCTTTCTGGATTGGGTGAAAGGACGAATAGACTAACTAAGGGAAACTATTTCGGAAAAGGATGTGAATAATTTGTTAACTGAGCAACACTTTTTCAGGTTTGTTCATCTCACAACGAGCAAATTGTTCGGGGACTTTCTGGAAGCTTTCCGAGCATTTATTTCTACCTTGAAGAAATAACAGCGGTTGAAAGAAGGTCTTGGTAACAAACACCAAAGTGAGAAAGCTTTCTTCTTTGCATCGGCTGAGCGGGAACGAGAATTTATGTATCTTACAGTGGAGATTGGTTCTCTGTTTTGCACGAAAGTGGAGATAAATGTGCATATGCATTGGTGAATAACCTCCACATAGTGTATGTCTAAAATCAACCATTGATGAAGAAAAAGCAATTGTGTTAGGGGCAGGATTCTGGAAGTCCAGAAATTCATTTCAAATCACAAGCGTGTAACGTCAGAATCTGTGGCGAGAAAGAAACGGTTTGATAACAAATAGAATGTGAAAACTGGAGCTAAGAAGACAAGAATTCGATGAACCAATAGAAAAAATAAATCGAAGCAAAGATAGTGGGGTTGGAACCTAATCACAATTAAGTAATATAGGTGTGCTGCTGCATTCGATCGGGAACTCATTGTTGAAGGTGAGCATTTGCAATTGGCCGTTATCAATGACAAGGAAATCCGTTTCGCAAACAATGTTGTAATTACCAAGCTGTTTGCTACCCATTCATTGTTATGAATGTGCAAATCACTTAGATCGGTGATCTGGGGCGGTAGAGTTTGGTTGTGAAATGTTTTCAATGCGCAGAAAACAGGCGATGAGATTTGTTGAGAGCACGATAGAAACATCGTGCAAATATGGTGTTTTAAATAGCCAACACAAAACCCCAGGGATAAGAAATTCCCAATCCACAATATTGCAATAGACAGAGTGCGGTGAGCATTCGCGCTCAGAGCTCAAGGTGACATGCACGTTGTTATCATCTGTTAGTCCCGAGGTACACTCGAGCAGAGGTATTTGATACACGAATACCCGTGATTTATCGCCAAGGCTGGGCACTGGAAATAATTCGACCAGTCGCCTGTGCTCTCCCCGAGATCACCGACGGACAGAGCTTGTTGAATTCCAATTCGCAAGTTTCAGAAAAAACAACAAACTAACGCGGATCAACGGTCCAGTGAGACACACACACGACCCATAATCATATCACAGTAACCGCCCCAAAACTGCATACAACAAGTCATTTTTACAAGGATGTGACTTTCAGTCCAAACAGCCTGAAGGCGAGTGCAAAGGTTAACATGTGAAAGAATGCATTCTGCCGTATGCAAATCTCTCATGAGTTGTTTTTCCGAAACTGAAAATCCTAGCCATGGGGACTGGTGAACCACATAGACCGCTCTCCACCCAAAGCGCACTGGTGAGCGACCACGGAGCTGCATACTACCACAGAATGTGCAGATCCACTACACTGACATGTGTAGACTAGAACGTTACAGCTCAGAATCAAAAAGTGTCGGACATCAATGCGAAAGCATGGTATTACCTGTGACACCTAAGCATACGTTGGTCTTGTAATTTACATCCCAGGAAGCTGTTTGGACAATATGCATGAAATTTTTCATTTTTCTTCAAGATATCATCTTTCCCTGCCCATAATTTATGATAGATGGACACCCCGCAGATAACAATATTCAACACAAACAAAATCTACCGACAGTGAGTGCCATCATACCCACCGAAAAAGTCTTCGACTGTGATTCCACCCGAGACAAGGAAATCGATCCGAAGTCCGCGCACGAATGCAACCGGTCTACAGATCTAACACCAGTGAATGATGCTTCCCTGAACGGTGGTCCATTAATTGACTATTATAAAGTTGGTGCGCAGAGATTGGACGAATTGTTCTCTTGTGACCAGTTCTGCTCCATGTCTTCGGTGTTTGATGATGTGACAAAACAGCTTCGGGAACGACTTCATGTGAGTTTTTGGTTCATATACATGTATATGTGTAAAACGAACAGTTTGTATTTACTCACATTTACTTGCAATCAAATGTGTACAGGTCTAATCGAAACTGAAGCAACGGGTCCCTGTGAAACACTTTTGGGTTAGTATAGGCACTAGCATTTATACTGAAGTCAATTTTTTTCTAAATAATAATAAAGAAGTCTTGGTGAGTCTTTATAGCATTGATTTTCCTAATCCGTTTATACTCAGCAGAAAGAATGGCTCAGAATGTAGTGGACACACCCAGTTCGTCAGTAGTGGTTGACCTAGACTAGTTTAAATGTTTTTGTTCTGTTCCACTCAGGCTATTTCTCGATAGTCCCTGTTTTATTCCGGCTCTATCAAGGTAGCGCAAACAGTTGAAGATAAAACGTACGCGTCCACGTGCAGTTTTCAATGTTACCCAAATGGCCCTAATTGGTTTCTTTTTGTCGTACACTTGTAGTCTAATTACTCCAGGATACGTGAAGAAATGCAAAATGCCGCCAAGGAAATTGTGAATACAGAAATGAAACGGTACGTTGTTCGCATATGAGGAATTTGAAGACAAGCGTGATCAGTGACAACCGTTTTACGCTGTTGTTAGGTCACTAGTGGATCTTTTTTATTGAGCATTACACGTTTTAGTGATAGGTAAAACACTAATGAGCACAAATTACAAATATATTGAAATCCCGGTAGTGCATTGAAAGGTGATTCTTCTTGTTCTATTTTTATATAGAATACTACTCACAACACAGCAACTACGTGATCAGGTGATCAGCCTACGTTCATTGGTTCAAAGTCAAGAGCGAATGATTGCGCGAAAAGATCAGGTGATCGATGATTTGATGCTCGATTTGAGACGAGTCAATCAGAATGCAGAAATAGCGCGTGAAAAGTGTCGCGCGGAAAGAGATGTGAGTAATGTTCAAAGGTTGTTCTATTTTTTCAGCCGCATTGCCACAGTTATCGATTCACGCTCAGTCTGGACTCAGACGTATGTAAAACACAAACATATTTATTATCGAGACCTTTCACAATTGGACAATAGGACTTGCAACGTAATTGATGAAACAATTTTCAGTTCGCCACTGTTTGGCTGATAGCCTCCAAATAATCCCGATAGAATCCCTCTTGTGGTGGTTCATATATTTACTAGTAGACGAAGGCTGCTTTTATCCCCTGGTTAGCACGGCCAGTTAGATACACTACACTTAGAGCTTTTGTTCGGTCCCGTGAGCGATATTGAGGTTTTCTTTGCATTCATTTTTGGACTCTAGNGCTCTTATCCAAACGTTTCACCGTTCGCTTCACAGAATACTTTGGCGAACGGTACACCTCAAAAAATGCGAATATCAAAGATATCTAGATGATGAATCTTTAAATTAGCCCATTCGGTTTTTCACAGGCACGAGACACTGTTGATGGTGATGTTGGATGTGGGTTTCACTCTTGTGGGAGATCGGTAATTCCCCACTGTTTGAATGCATTTAAATGCGATCAATATGTTTGTGAGAACGAAAAAAGTGCACTGGACAGCTGTTTGGTCCTGTTTGGAACTCGTTAACAGTGCATAATTTTGTGTCCCCGTATCACGACTCGAACCGCGATTCTTCGGACTGGGACCCTTATCCTTGAGCTATACGGTCGACGGTTATCACCTCGTGCGAATGGCTCAATCAATTTAAATGATGAGTGTTTAAATTAGCCCATTCAGTTTTTCACAGGCACCAGACACTGTTGATGACGAGTCCTGACAGGG